CCATGGGTCTTCTGAGTTCACAGAAGAACTTCGGCTATGTTCATCTTAGTCAAGTGCAGAGATCTCTGAGGTTGTGCAGACCTTGACTGGCATCTTCAGAAAGTGTAGTCTCACTGCAGGAGTAGCTGTGTTAGGCACAGTCTGTACTACCTTTCAGATCTACGATAAACTCACGTGACTCAACATCACAGCATTTTCATAGGGCAGGCTAGTTCTTAATCCCCTTGGGCCTTGGGTTCCCATCTATGGCATGGAATTATTAGTCCTTTCTGGTCTCACCGAAGCCCTGTGAGAATAAATGTTGTTGAGGGGTCCTGATCATTTGGCAACACAAAATACTGCTGGCAGACATCACAGTCTGTGGATCTGAGGATCAACTCTGACCCGACTGCTACCACTGAATTTCCTGTTTTGCAAAATGCTTTTTGCCTACCCAACATAATCTGCAAAGACTTATTCTCTTCAGGTTTACTGGCAGTCCAGATCTGGACAGGATTGAAGGTGCCAAGGGTAAGAGTGATATTTTCCAACCAGCACAGGTTTTGACGTTTTACTGCAGTGCTCTGGAGCTTTCTGCCAAGCAGGCAGGAATCAGGCTATGTTCAGCCAGAAATCTGCATGTAACCTGGTGTCTGACAGATTAATCTATCATACACCGGAGACTTTCAATAAGCTCAGGGTGCCAAACCTGCTGGTTGAGGGTCCTAGAGCATATTTACAATCTGCCATATTTCTGCAAGCTGCAACTTGAAGGAACTCTGTTGGGATATCAGTCATTCCATTCAGCCTTCAGCTCCTAAGCCTGCATGATTCAAAGCTTTTTTAGTGCTTATACAGCCAGGAGCATAATTGTCAGGAAGGGGTGTGCCCAGGCTGTGCTCCCCCTAAAATAATCCTTGGAAGTTCACACAGCACCTTCCCTTCACCCCAAACTAATCATAATGATGCCCCATTCCTGGAAGAGTTCAAGACCAGGTTGAATGGGGCCCTGAGTAACTTGATCTAGAAGGTGGCATCCCTGCCTAAGGTTGGAGAGCTGGAACGAGATGATCTTTAAGATCCCTTCCAACCAAAGTCTTTCTGTGATTCTATGGTATCTCCTTTCTTTCATCTACTTGGCAGTAACAAGCACATTCAGATCAGCTCTAAACCAAGTATGAAAATCACCCCTGTCAAAGCACCAAGACTTGCATCACCAGCAGCTTAGTAGTTTTACATTTATTGCAGGGAAGTCTGGCATTCCAGGATGACATGCACTTTACTTGCCGGTTCTGAGTTCCCTCATGCAGCCTTTGCTCTCTACCCTCTACCTCTGGGCTCTTCTTGGTAACAGCCAGTTGTGACAAGGGCTCCTCAGCTGCAGCTCCCCATGCGACAGCCATGAGGATGATCCTTTCCCATCTCCTGATGGAGCTGACAGCCCTCTTGGCAGGCAGAACTGCGAGGACTTCTGGTCGCAATGCTTTCTGGCTGGTTTTCTACAGTAACACCTTCACTCGCTGTGAATGGCCAACCCTCATAGCCATGCCTCTCACATCCGCAGCCCCAGCAGGCTGCTGCCCCGAGCTGACACCCCTGCAGTTTCCTTCTGGGAGAAGTCAAATGTTTCCCTTATGGCTTCCCAGCCACTCTCTGTGCAGTCATTTGTTTGGGTACCATCCTCCTGTTGTCCAAGCTGTTTCCCTTCAGCTTGCTGTTGTGCCAGATTGTCACACGGTGTCTCAACCATCCTCCGTTAAACCTTTTATGTTGTCCTCGACAGGGAGCTCTTGTGAAGCATGATTTTTGGCCTGACTCCAAGCAGGGTCTTTCATATCATCACTTCTTTACTGGCTCCTGTCTCTGCCCAGCCAGCAATGAGATAGCCTCGAGGAGTGAGGCTTCTCAAGGAGGTGGGATGTCACAGCTACACTATATCCCTTTTCTACAAAGTCCACCCTCCCCGGGGCCTGGGCACCCTGCCTACAGCACAGGTGAGAGAGCAGAGAACTTCTTCTCCATCATATAAGTGAAACCATTGTGATCATATTTTTAATTTTTTTCTCAGTAATAATGAGGTCTAGAAAATTGTTTTTCCTCCAATTAAAATAAGCTCAAATAGTGATCCCTTGTGCTCAAGAGCTGAAAAAAGCAGCAAGTATTTCAAAACAAGCACTCATTCACAGAAGAAAAACAGTACATTAAAATACTAACTCTATATCCAAAACAAAAACAAAACATGCAAACTGTGAGTCAAAATGAAGGTTATGAAATTTGAAATGTGTGGTTTTATACTTAATGAAATGTGACTCATAATATGGGTAGTGTAGATTTACAATGTTCTAAACTATTCATATCCTTACTTGCAAGCGTTTGGATTTTACAAATGATGTGACAAGTAAATACGTTGCTTAGAAACCATGGTGGGCTTTTGAAACTAATTCTTTTGTTTCTGGGATTTTGACTTGGCAGGTGTTTGGTGCAGTGAAGTTATCAAACTCCTCTGGTTTACTCTCAGACAGCACCAGTCATTTGGGGAGGGCTCTCAGATAAGGATAAAGCTTAAAAATCTGAGGCTCGTGTTATTCCAGCTCCCTGCCTGCATGGCATGCCCTCAATACCTCTTACAGTTTCAGTCACGCTGTGTCCAATTCCTGAAACCAAAAACCCTTGTGAGCCTCGGGATCTTTTTTCTTCTAGGAAGTATTTGCTGTGAAGCTTTGAAACACAGGACGAACTAAGCCACAGAGATGCTGCGGTGAGGTCATACTGCTTTTAAATAGAGACAGAAAGAAGTAGTCTGAAATAATTTATAACGCTATCATCTAAGACAATGATGTTAACCAGGAAATTGAGAAGTGGGAGTACTTATAAACGCCACCCTGATCCCAAACTCCTTCCATAACCCCAGAATAGCTGGTGTTACTACTAATATGATCTACAGCAGCACATTTAAACGTGGTTAACATTTAAATTTAGGTTTCATAAATTACACCCTGCAGAGATGGATAGAGACAGCTTCTATCTCTTTGAGGTATTGTTTCATTTGCAAATTCAAGCAGATGGTGCACGAGCAACTAATGACTCAAAAAATCACCCCTAAAAATAGTCCAGAACAAGGTGTGGATTTATCAGGGAAGGAGGGAACAGAAAAGGCTTTACTTCCCCTTCCCATCTCTCAGGCACAGCTCCAGGAGCCCAGCGCACCCAGAGCTGTGCAGCACTGAGGACCCCTTCTACTCCCCCTTTTCAAGTATCTCTCCCTGTCACCTCACACAGGGGAGAAATGAGGTGGTGAAGGGGAAAAGGATTAGCACTCCTCCCTTTCCCCACACCAAGCCTGCATACAACCCCCAAAAAACCCCAACCTGGGAAATTACAACTTCCTTAACTGTATCCAGAACCGCTCAGCACAGTAGTGTGGCACCACTGAAACTTTCAGTCTCCCAGTCAGGTGGGTGCTTCATGAAAACTGACTTTTCCAAGCAAATTCCATAAATACTTGTCACTGCTTCCTCATGAGGCAATACACTGCAATATATTGTACTTCCAGCAGGAAGCCAAACTTGCTGTCATTTCCCTATTTATAATGACATCGTAGCCTCCTGTCTAACCACACTTGTACAAACTCTTGGGGAGGTAGAGAGTCCCTCCAGGATGTGTTGCTGGGGTTTGAGCAGGGGTGAAGCGTGTCAACGTTAGCAGCATCTGCGTGGGGAGAAACCTGCCGTGCAGCCAAATAATGTAAAGCATAAATTCCTCGGAGCACCGTGCCTGTGTTTGTGCAATGCCTGGTAGAAGGCACTGTTCACAGCCATCCCCAAAGCAATGACATTCTGAAGTAATAAATATTAATACTCTCTGGTTAAAGATCCCAGCACAAGTAAAGACGCAGCTTGAAAAGTAAAATGTTTCTGTATGAAAAGTTGGAGGGCCTCTGGCAATTTTAACAGCTACAGGAAGGTAAGTGTTATTATTTACTGCACAAATACACACAGAATATGTATATTAAATCACACTTCAGTTGTTTCTGTGAAGCAAAAGACTCTTCTTCTGCTACAAGTCTTGCTCTTTTCTCTTGTTTGTACCATGAGTTCTTCTGCCTCTGCTTCTTGCATCCCTGTCCTCTACTGCTGAATATCCTGGGAAGAAAGCTGTCTCTTCCTCCATTTTCATTAATAGTAGAGACTGCTACTACAGTGTTATCAGATTCTAAATGTTATACCTAAACTGATTTGTTAGACCATGCTTGGTCTTTTTCTTTTTTTGGCTTGTCTTATCTGTTTTTTATGCAATAAAAAATAGTTGCTATTGGGGCCCATGATTCAACAACTCCTGACGTATATTATTTCACTGAAGCACAGCTCTTTTTCCCATTACAAATGCAGCTCTAAATTTGCAAGAGATTGCCTATGCTCATCTCCTGTGTTTCCACCTCCCTCCTATGGCATCCTAAATAAAAACAATGTTTAAAAATAAAGGAAAATATATGCTAATTATATACAATGGGCCAGAAGAACAGAGTTGCACGAAAATGTGTTGATTGAGGATCTGACTGTATCAGCCAGATGAAGCAAACAGGTTCTGAAGTGAATTCTAAGAGAGAAGAAAGCAACCATTCACATTGCCACTATGACTTATACAAAGGTGCATAGACGAACCTGGTTCTGAGGGAAAGTCTGGCCTCAGCAAATAAACCATGATGTCAAATTCTGTGCTGGCAGAAGTATGATGCAGAATGATTTACTGTAGCTCTTCTAACATTCACAATACTGAGTGAGATGCCAGCATTCTGCTTCATTAACCCGTCGTTTTGATTGCCTTTTTTTTTTTTTTAATTCCAGTAATTTTCTCTTCTTTGCAATTATACTAGACATCTCAATCTCTCTACATAAATTATAGCTTTCTTTTTGAGGAGGAAACTGGCCACATAAGCTGGAAACACACTCTCCTCTGAAGCTACAACCTGAAGGGAAAGAGCTTGAGCAGCCAGCCTAGACTAATTAAAAGATTATCTTTACCTTGCTCCCACAATGAGCTGGTTCCTGTTGGCATCCAGTGCAAGCTGAGAAAAGTCATGCACACCTGGATAGGTGAAATTTGACACCCAGGGCTTCAGATCTGCAACGAAAATGAGAAAACAGAAAATAATAAAGCTGCTCCAAAAGCAGTGAGTTCACCCGGACATCCGCTAATGGATTTCCTACCGAGTCATCTGTCAGGGAAGGCTAATTAATAACCTCTTTAAAGGGCTTCTATTCATTATGATTCTCAGCAGAATGTGCAAAACCCCCTCACATAAACACAAGGCCGTCTCAGCACTTATTTTCACATCCAAAATGGAGTGTCAGCATTGGTTTCAGAGACAGCAGCAGCTCAATTTTACTTCTGTTAAAACCGAGGAAACATCTTCAGTGTGAGGATTAAGGGGTGTAATGGGACAAGGCTACCTGCCAAAACACCTCCATAGCCATTTCCTCTGTGCTAATCAAAGGGAAACTGCTGCCCACCAGAAGCAGAAGGTAAGGCCTTCTGCAGAACCAACAGGTGATCTGCACGTAGGACCCGGCTGCTCCAGTGAAAGGTTTTACCTTCTCTTTCAGGTCTTCAAATTCTCTTCTAGGTTTCACTTCACCTAACATCTCAGATCCGTATCAGTTAAATCATTCCTTCATTTTTAGATGGTGGGGTGTCATCACAGCATCATTGTGGCTGAGTGATTGCACAAGCTTGAGGCTGGCTGTATCAACTAGCTCGAATTTGCCAATCTAGGCAATTGCCCAAACTGCAATCACACAGGTTGAATGGAAAGCAAAAGATTTGCTTATGCTTTGCTCACAGAGGCAAAACTCTTCTAGAAGCTAATCTATTAACACAGCATCAACTGAGAGATCTAGGACAGGTAGACCTGTTGTAATAAAAACCACAGTTCTTAAAAGAAAAAGGTGAATTACTGTTTTTAGGGTACTCAGACATGATGCTAGGGCATTCACAGGATCCCACCTTTCAATACCACAACCAACTTTGACCTTGCATGTATTACAGATCACAGAATTTCCTCTTACCTTACACCTTTACAGCATAAAATAACTGGGAATAGATTTAAACGCATCTTTCAGAAAGTCATCTAGCTCTACTGTGAGGACTTCTATTGAGAACTGTTAACTACTATAGCTGAATAACATGGAGGATACCGAATATCTTGGAGCAAGGTACAATTGAGACCAAATCAGTATATTCCTCTGTGACCTGCTGACAAGTAACTCTGCCTCACTCAAGGACTGGATCCAGGCGGCTCAACATGAAAGGTAATATCTTCTGGCCTCATGACAAGAAGATACCAATACACAGGCCAATGACCTGATGACTCATAACAATAATGATATAGTTCAGACCAGTTCAAAAGAGCTCTGAAAAAACATGCTCCACTGTCATTTTATATCCCCACTGATAAATTGAGTAGTCTCACTGAAGGCAGTCAGGTTTGAACGCTTTGTTGTAGGCATTGGTTTCCCTTTCCACAGGGGTGAGAAGACAATGCTGATGAGGAATCTCATTAAGGCCTTTGTTGTCTTGGCATGTTTATGGAATTACAGACGTGCAATGGTATAAAACCTTTGACGTAGGGATATTAGGCGATTTCAAGTCCTTTCTCCCTCCACGAATAGATGAAATTTAATCAAGCCCTTAAGTTATCAAAACCTTAAGAAAACATATATATAAAGTCCCTACACTCTACATGGTTTGCCTCTCTTTCCAAAGCAGGATCTTGTTCTGCCTCTGTCCTGAGCACCACCACGTTCCATAGCGGCTCCTGGGGTCCCTCACCGTAGAGCTGGACACTATCAAGCCTGGTTCCATGCCCTGCTGAACTGGAACGCTGCCAGGATCTCTCCAACAGCGGGACCTCCATCCTCAAAATCTAAAAACTCCGTTGCTGGGAGCTGAAGGCTTCCAACCCTTCTCAGCATTCCTGTCACACCGCATAGCCACACACAACACGTGTACCTCCTCTGCTCTTCAATGAAAAGGCATGAGTTAAGGAATAACTCAGCCCGTCTAACCTTCAAGCATCTCCACCTCCTACACTCCTCTGGGACCCTTAATGATGTACTAGCACCAGGGAGGCACCGCAGTTTCACCTCTGGCATTCTCCTAACTAATGGGGCTCTGACTTCTTTTCCTGTAGCTCTTTAGCTGCAGAGACATTTCTGAGCCAAGCAGCAGAACCAGCAACAATAACACCTTTCAGGCAGGTTAGCTGGCTGACATGTGCTGCAGATCTTCTGGCATTTCTGCTGGCTGACGGGGGTGGGATTAGGGGATTGCTATATAATGATGATACCTTTTAAGGATCCTGCTTTTAGGCCATAATTTCTCTTGTCATTTTACCTCCTCTTCTACCAACTCTCTCCTACTAACTAACCTACTATTACAGTGCAGTGGCAGGAAGAATATGTCTTCATCTGCTGCTCTAAGCAAAAGCCCCTTACTTCAGAGAGGTACACTCATCAGTTTTTCCTTTTAATGGCAAGCTCTGACAAACTACAGGTAAAAATAATTTTTTAACAAATTAAAGGCAGTAGTTAGCTTGAATCTTTCCAAGTCGGTTCAAATGTCAATCAAGCCCAAGAAATAACAGGCAGTGTCTTGATTTCTATTACTACTGCAGGTGGTACAACTTATAAAGAAACCCTTCCCAGTTATTAAATTAAAGGCTGAAAAGCATGCATCCTCATAGCAAAATTAAGCTTTTATAGGCATGTAGTTGGAGATTATTAAACCCAGCGTGGTCCCAGATAAGAATGTATAAATGCAAGTTGTCAGAATTAATGCCAAATGGCACATTTTCCTTCCCAACTTTCTTTCCTTCTGTTAAGAGGGAATGGAACTGCAACCAAGAGTCAGAACATGGGTTCTTTTTGCATTCAACACATTCAGGTCTACTGTTCAGACCACATGCATCCCTAAGGACATTTTCAGCCTTTCACTCTGAAACTAGCTCAGTTCTGTAAGGTAAGTGCTTCCCTGGGTCTATCCCGTATTAACTGAAGTTTACACATATGGACCCAATGAACTCCAGAGATTGCTTGTATTTGACCTTCCTCTGAAGGCTGATTTTTCCAGTGTTGACTCTTTAATTTGGCTGGAAACCTTCAGTGCTGGGGCATGTTTACATTTGCAAAAGTATCTGTTTAAAAACAGTATGAAAAATTAAAAACCAAGGCTCTGGCTTTGCATGTCAGCAGCAGGAGCCGGAAAGGTAGGAACCACATGGCTTAGGGGCAAAATGACCATCAAGGCCTCCTTTGTGCTTTTCATCTCTAATCACTTCCAGGGGGTTAAAGATCCGCACTCTCCCTTCCTCCACACAAGAAGCAATGAACAAAAGTTTAACAGTTTCCAAAACCATCTCCAGATATTGATTCAGAACGTCTAAAGCCTTGCAAGTCCCTCCACAGCTCCAGGTGGTTCAGGTATCCAGCTGCAAAGAAGACAAAGCTTCACGGGAAATGTAAGTCTGGAGACATAGCTGTGTTCAGGCTATTCTGCGTGCCTAAGAGAAGGTGAAAGGAGGCCTTCTGCTATTTCAGAGGGTGGCCCCTGCAGCCTGCTAGCACATTGCTGTGCTCTGACTTCCTGAGAGTACAGGACTGGGATGAGGATTACTCAGTTGCACAAAGAACAGGGTGCCAAATTGCAGGAGCTGGGCTTAAGGGCCTGATCCAGACACCCTTCAAATCATTGGAGGTTTTCCACTGAGCTTGATGGGATTTGGATCAGCTTCTAAAGATGTGGTAAACCTGGCAATACTTGAGCCTTCATCTCCTCAAAATCGAGTGCTCCCCACCTCACCCTTACTCTGTGTGTTTTGGAGGAAAGAAATATGTAAACACTGAGTTGAGGCTTCCCTGTCTGAAGGGCAGCATTTACTGCTTCATCTCACTCAAGCCCAATTGTCACTCCCATCCTGAGCAGGCTGCAACAGCTTTGTGCGTCCAGCACACATCACACAAGAGCTGAGAGGTTAAATGCCCATGCCTTGGAATTGCCAAGCCATTGCTAGGTGCACTGAGTACAGCTACCCACTGTGCTATTCAGGAACAGCTCTTGCAAAATAATTCTCAGCATGGATTTCCCAGTCCGAAGCAAAAGAAACTAAACTGAACAGGACCAAGGATTTTTGTGTAAAATGCTCCTATTTAACTATGCTTCTATCCTAGGATTGCAGAGAAAAGCTTCAAAAAGACCTTAAGGAAGAAGATAGGGAAGTTAAACATGAAGGAAGATTCATAGGGTCCCAATTCCAGAAAAGACAACCTGAACCCCATACCTTACGTAAAGGTCCTGTAAAATAGGCTGATTCAAGGGCAATAAATAAATAAATAAATACATGCTGTGCAGATATTCAGACCCACTTTTGTGCAGTGTTAACTTGACCACTCATTAAGTGCTTCCTTACTGCCTCAGCATGGTCTCTTCTAAGTTCTCTTAGCTTACTAATTCATGGCATGCTTAATTACTGTGTGTGAGTATTTCAGCACTCCTGGTGAGGCCCAGATGACAGCCATGACTTCTATAACTTGTTCAATCTCCTCCCCTTTTGGTTTGCTTCAGCCCCAGCCCAGCACAAATTATGTATAGTGGTTGGCAGATACTCCAGTACTCAGACACTTATGTTTTTTTCAGACCACCCACCAGCCTGAAGGATTCTCAGTATTGGATTCCAACCATGACCAACAGATGCAAATAACTTTGTAATGTAAGGTAAGGCCTCAGGATGTCTCCTTGGCGTAGGTGATGAAATGTCCCCTTCTCAGAATCAGACCTACCATCTCAGACCATCCTCTGCTCCAGTTATCCTCAGTATTCAGAGCATTTTTCATGAAGTAGACAGTTGCTTGCTAAGAGTGAGGTCACAGTTTCCATTCTGTGTGAGCCACTGACCAGAACCCATCAGAGACAATGCAAACAAGGCTGTAACCAAAGCTCAGAAGGCAATGACTACCCACCCATGCATGCTACCACCTGTCTTCTCAAATACTGCAAGTGTGGACACTTCCAAGAATTCATAGACGTTAAAGTGAAATTACAGCATTATCTTTATTGGAATGACAATG